GCTGCAAGCTTGTAATATTTTTATTGTTTTACCTTTGTTCACCTGTAGAAGTAGAATTGAGATATGAAACAGTACATCACAGCTTTACTGTATATTACGAATCCGGTACCACCGACCCCAGCTCGGTTCTCCAAAACTTTTCGAAAGAAATTTTGACTGCGTTGATCCACTGCGCAACAGGTTCAGTAGGTCTTCAACGACCTTGCATATTCCAATGATGTCAGCCTTGATCTTCTCCGTTTCTGTCATATGCACCTCTGACTGTCCATGGCGTTCTTCAATTATAGTTGGCCACCAAGATCTTGATCGATTCATAGGTGTTGTACGTGTCAGGCCGACACGACTGCCTGCATATAACTACTGAGTTTCCGTTTCTCTTAAAGTAAAATTTTGGCGAATATATGTTTGGCACTTCATTCGGGCTGCCATCCCTCGTCAACCATTATCAACCACTTCTCAACCTTCAGCCTGCCAAACGGATTCAGAGAAGTCAATCACTCCATGATGACTTGATCACAGAAAGATATCATTTGCAACTGGCGGGCAGCACCACCGTCTCAACCTGCTAGAGTGGGTTCCCACACCACTTCTAGGAACATTCTCCCGACTATTTCCTTTTCAATGGCATAAGTCATGGAATATATGCTTCTCGAAGGCATTGTCTCATTTACGGATTTATCTAATTTTTTGTCACCTTACCAGGGCTGATATTCCTTCTCCTTGTACCTTGAAAAAAGGTCCTATGAGCAATTCTGACTTAAAACCTGATCGTCACCTGTGTTATATCGCTTGCTCAAGATGTCTGCCAAGTTTTACGTTTAATATGCAGCAAAACCTTTTCTAAGCTCATAATACATTGGCTACCTCATAATACAATAGGTTTCTAACGATGTTCCGCAGTGTCCACATGGTGGAACAGCCCTTCCATGTTTCAGCGTCTGTAGCCATTCCTCATACTACATGAAAAGCACGTGGTTGACAAAATATCTATTATCACACGTTATGATGTATTCGAAATAAACGACTTCACATATAATTTTAAAAGGTTATATTAGCGATTAATAAGCAAAAACTTAAACCCATAAAAATATTTCAGCGATAAGTGAACAGCATTTGGATAGGTGTTCCACAAAATCTCTTCGAGTGACCATCAATCAAGAGTGTACAAATAATGTAACTCAAATTAACCCGTACACTGTTCCTGAATTAATGCAGAACCCTGTGCAGCACAAATCGAAATGCTTGAAGTTTGTTCATTGTGCACTTGCCACGGGGGATCCTTAAACTAAGCAGAAGAATGTCCTCAACCCACCGCGCTGATCCGCTGTTTCTCAAAACCTTGGTACAAGAGGTTGAACTCATATTTCTTCTTGCTGGTTGTCTTTTCCTACTGTCTCCCTGGTGCACTGGAAACGTAAAGCGTGGCAACTACATTATTCCAGTGTAAACGGGCCTATGTTTGTGAATCAAAGGCCACCACTGGCTTCCACTCAGTTGAACTCATAATCCTTCAAAGCCTTATTAGCAGGTTCACGACAGGCATTACGACCATCGTAGTCGCTAAATGCGAACAGAACCCGTAGTATTTCACTCTAATAAACAATTACATACTGAAACAGTAACAATCTTGATTTCAAACGGGTAAAAATTTTGTTCATTGGAAAAAAGACGTGATTCTACATTCAAAGCAATGATAGCATTATGCAGAAGTTCAGACAGAAGATTAAGACTGAACATTTTCGATTCTTCTCCCACTGTTGTAGCTGCAGCTCATTTCTTGATCCATGGTTGGGGATACCAAACAAAACCAAGATAAGATGGTAAAAATTATCATAATCTTTTATTGCCAATAAAAAATTACTACATAGCCTTGACTTGGTTTAGTGCCCTCACCCAGAGATCAAGAAATGAGCTACAGTTTAGGATGGATATTCAGCAAACTCTGCCGATTCACGTAATGAAATATGTTAGTTTCTCCATTTTCCTCAGTCTGGCATCGTTTTAGTCAGTATTCCATTTTTCTGATAATTTGCCCTCATCCTCTCTTGAGAAAATAAACGACGAAACTATTTCGTTTTCTTCGAAATTAATACAGATGGAGGCCCCATATTTTAATCAGATTTATCTTCTCTTAGACAGATTTGCCTTAAAAGCATAAGAAACCATATCAACCCCTATTACCACAGGCTCTTTACCTGACACTTTTGAATTTCACTTCAGGAATTCACGATTGCCATATTGACTCAGGAGTAATATAATTCAGTGTACTTCATTCGGCACGTCATCCCTGAACTATGTAGTTACTCGCTCTCAAGGCGACAGCTAAGCCTAACATAGATTATAGTATGTAAATTTGGACATCTAATACCGTTCTATGGACAATATTCACTGCTTATGTAGAAAATATTTGTATACTTAATAATGTAGCCGTTTCTATATAATTCGACAGAATAACGACACTGTTGTGTAATTAGGTGCTCCACAGACGTCAAGGCGTGTATACTGCCAGTGAAATTGTACGAAGATGTTACTCATCACATCTACTACACCCTCATCGAAGCGTATTGCTTTCAGAACGAAATTCCATTGCACAAAGTAAGAATATGCTATTAAAACTAGTTTATTCGCTAATGTTTACTAAAATATTTTATTACACAGGTGGACCTTACGAATGACAGTTTCAGCTTTCTCAAAAAACTGCCCAGAAGGAAAGTAGTAGACATGATACTGATCAAGGTAAGTTGGTTAATCAGTATCAGCAGTTAATATTGACATTCGATTTTTTAGAGTAGCAAGAAATGAGTCACTAATGACAAAACCTGCAGGATTCAACACAATTCAGCGTACCGAAACATAGTCACTCAGTCGAGGATCCGGGGTATCATGGTGGTCAAGACTCACGTTCATAAAAAAGGGAGTCATTGGTCCGAAAAATTAAAAGAGCAGAACAGAAAATCAACATGTGCACAGCGTTATCGTGGTGTTTATATCAGAAGAATATATGCACAACAGCCAACTGGCAGTTACCTATATCAAGTTAAATAAAAAACGAGATCATAGCGTAACTCTTCCGAACTTCTTTTCTAAAACAATCTTTTACCTTATAGACATCAAATAAGAGAATGAACGGATAAAGTAAAGGGATGACAAAACGACTGCTAAAACCACAAAATTTTTGCAAAGCGATAAAAACAAAAAACAAACGATTCGAAAAGCATAAAAGCTGGAAGACGCACAAAACAACCTGATAACAGCTACCGCACTTCTTGGCAAACAGTGTCACCTGAAGTTGTCAGTAAACTATGCACGAAGGTTTTTCCTTGAACGGGTTTTCTTTCTGGTTGTTAAATCCGATCACCAATATATCGTCGCTTTGGTGATCTTCTGTGTACCTGCGAAAAATTTAATATAATAATTATATACAATTCAATCACAAAAAAAAATCAAATGCAATGTAATTTTCTCATAATTATGCCACTAAAAACAACCACTCGGGTACACGGCCACAAGAAGGAATATAATCACCCGTACTGCGTAAAAGCCTATCTAAAGGGGATCACGCTACAGTATTCCGGAAATCCGTTCTTCGGATTTGCCAAACTACATCGCTGTTGATCTCTGTTTCGCACACCTTTTTTTAACTATGCCGAATTGCTGAAAAAATAGACCAGTTTGTCTGTTACTCTAGGGATCACATTTTTGAATTTAAAAATTTGAATTCCTATCAGTGGAAATTCTGTCACTGCACAATTAAAATTAACGTCGTGAACAGAAATAGACGGTTGTAATTGATGCGTATACTTGGTGCAGATTATTTGTATTTCCGTGCATGAATATGAAATGATTTTTTTTCTGAAAAGCCTTACTTTGTTGTTCCAATGAACTGGCGATAGTCGCATCACTCAAGCGATGCCCTTGTACAAAGGCGTTGAAAGCAAAGTCTGAGTAGTCGGCACCCCAGATGCGGTTTCTGCACAGATGTTTCTCAATTCCAATGTTAAGACATAGGTTTTACCTGCGTATATACTATCACAGTCTTCAGTGTGCATTTTATAAATAATTTTCCTCTCGGATACCTTGAAAAATTTCATGAACAGAAGCACTTCCGATTCCTGTTTTGAGCAGATCATAAGTCC